CCTGCGTGTACGTGCGTGTATCTGCGTGTACGTGCGTGTACCCGCGTGTACGTGCGTGTATCTGCGTGTACGTGCGTGTACCTGCGTGTACGTGCGTGTATCTACGTGTACGTGCGTGTACCCGCGTGTACGTGCGTGTATCTGCGTGTACGTGCGTGTACCTGCGTGTACGTGCGTGTATCTCCGTGTACGTGCGTGTACCCGCGTGTACGTGCGTGTATCTGCGTGTACGTGCGTGTACCTGCGTGTACGTGCGTGTATCTCCGTGTACGTGCGTGTACCCGCGTGTACGTGCGTGTATCTGCGTGTACGTGCGTGTACCCGCGTGTAGGCCTACGTGCGCGCCTGCCTGAGCAGCCATTGTTTACAAAATTGCCTAGCTTAGCCTCGTTTTCGTGTGTGACCCCAGGTCATGAATAATAATTAAGAAGGGTCTATACTATAGTGCTCACTCACCAGGTAATAAATTGGTTATTCAGAAATGAGCCAATGCTACAGCTATCTTTGTAGGCATACGATCCAGCACATTCTGGAAACTTCACATCTTGTAACAAACTCTGTGATGCTCCTGCAAACATAAATATATAGATATTACAAATTACACTTCATATATGATAAATATTTGAAGTTTAAATACAACCATACACAATCTACGCTGCAATCTAATCTACAATGTACATTTCTTGTGTTGTAGCTACCCAATCATCGACCTGATTTGCTTTTACAAGTCAGCAGCTGGCGAAATTTGTTCTATTCTTTGTTGTGATAGTTGACATGTTCATGATTTAGCTAAGAAATAATATATTTAATATTATTAATTTTTACTTAATTTAACTACGTGTGGTATTTATAAACGTTAGTTTCATAAAAAATAAGTCAGCCTGAACTTTTAACAAGAAAAAGAATGTTGTTGATGTGAAATGACCAATTTATCAAGGATTGGTAACCAAAAACTATGTGCTTTTAAATTTTTCACTGACTTAAAGCAGATCCATGACCAGGTTAGTGGGTTCTAGGTAAAATTATTCAATGGTCAATTTGGAAATCAGTTTTTTTTTGTTCAATGTTATTTATAAACGTGTTTTGAGCAAATTGCATTTGTATGGGATTTGTAAAGTTCCGGGGGGGGGGGGGACTCTACATCGACAATTTGGCAATCTTGAAATGCATGAAAATGACTTGTAAGTTGTAATCGTGGCATTTTGCACATCACCTCAACGTTTTACCAATATATCCAAACTAGTATTGGTAGCAATATCGCTACTAGTATTATTAAATGTAAGCAAGCAAGGTATATAATGAACAATAAGCATACATTTGTATACATGTAGACTAATAGATTGTGCCCTAGAAAAATATATAATCTAACGCAGGGTGCAAAATTAACGTGAGTCCGGAGTCAAATACTCCCTGATGCTGATTTACTGTCAGACTCCCTGATTCCTGATGTGACATATGCAGGAGTCCGTGTGACTCCCTGAAAATTCTGCTGTACTAACTAGTTCGTTCCAGAGTACGGCCTCGCGAAACTACCATGTTTTTTTCAGCAAATCTTTAATCTTGAACTTCAGACTACAGACTCCCTCATTTTGCTGCGGACTCCCTGTTTTTGAGGGCAGAGAGTCTGTTGGACTCCCTTGTTCAAAAGTTAATTTCTACCCCTGCTAACGCTATTCTATTGCTTAAGTTTTCTATAAACAAAAGTGAGGCATTTATGTGCAACAACGTTTTCATTTTTTTTGGTGTGACATTGAATTTCAAAGAAATAGGCAGTGGCTGCAGGTCCGACAGCCGTATCTCTAATTTACAAAGCTGGAGGTACGGCAGTCCATTTGCTTTCATACTTTGTGAACAAAGATGGCGGCGGATGGCGGCTGATTTCGAAATAACGCCTTGGGAAATAAATTCACGATTTGAGAGTTTTGATGAGCTAGAATTTATATAGTAGGCCTACTATTAGTAGTAGCAGGCCTCGAATTAAGTGACAAGAGGGGCAAGACAATTTTTTGGGGGCATGTGAGAAATTGCCTTGAATTTTCTCTAAAATGGATGGGCACCGAGGCAATTTTAAAAGGCATCAAGGCAACTCTCACAATTTGAGAAGGGCACCAAGGCACTTTTGTAAAATAAAGGGAAACTCATAACAAATTAATACATCAACCTCTGCTAATGGAAGAACAGTAACAGGGTTCAACGTTGACTTTTTATTTCACTAGACCATCGGGCTAGCAACTGAGGAAAACCACTAGCCCTGACCTAACTTTCACTAGCCCAGACCCAGACCATTGTTATGAAAAACTTTGTGTCATCGTATGAATTCTACTAAAATTTCTCTAAATTTACTGCATTTAGCAAGCTACACACCATACAGATTACAGCTGGCCATTTCTTGCGCGCAGCGTCGTTCCCGCTTTAAATCGGCGTGCGCGGCCGATGCTCCACGTGCAGCATAAATATTCGTCTACTCACGGGCATACACAGCCGCACGAATACTATCGATCGTCTACTGCCAGCGGTTGCAGCAAGCCACCGTTGACGCCGTATTGGTTTTTGCCGAAGAGCGTAAGAGCTGCGTATCCGGCCCTCCAGCCTCTGCTAGACAATGTGAACGCTCTGCGACAGAACAGTGCGGCCGCGAACCAGTCTAGCCAGAGGCGACGAGGCAAAATTACAGAAAAGAGCAAGCAGGTACGTCTTGGCGTCGTCGGCTTTGGATTTATCAGGCGCAGTACGGCCCGATTGATAGGGGCACCGACGCAATTTGCCTGTCGGGCCGTCGTGTGTAATCGAGGCCCGATAGTAAGTACTCGCTAGTATTTGGACGCTCCCCCGAAAACTGATGCTCTTACATGCGCATGCGCGCAGGCTATGTTCGTAAATGGTTCTAATTCGTAATCGATATCGGTTGCCGAATCGAAGTAACCGATGATCGGATTACAATCGAGTTACTCGGGGTGTGAATGCCCTGCCGTTGCGTAACGTCGTGCGCATATGTATGTGTGTGCATGTATGTATGTTGTTTAGCCAGCGTATATAAATCCCTATAGTGCTTCCTAGTGCCTTCTTAGCCCCTCAACAGAGTAAACTGCGGCGAATGTGCGGTGTTTCCAACTTAAAATAGCGATTAATATCTCTGATCTCCCATCAGTTTTCCAGTTTTCTTCTTCAAGTTTGTAAATTTATTTCGATGTTTTTTTTTTTTTTTTTTTTTTTTTCGATGAAACTAGATTATGAAATTTGATAACCAAGGCCTTGGCTTGAGCCACTGTTCAACCGATGCATCGTGACATCACTAGCGCAGGCGCCGCCTCTTGTTGTTCAGTCGGCGACATGCGCAGCATGCCGCAGTATAGTCACTGCGCGTCTCGCCCATTCAAAAACGGTCGCAATAAACAAAACATGGCGCCAACCTCGTCCCTCAAGGAAACATTTTGATTGAACAACTTCGTAGTAGTAAGTTAGTAAGACCTGTTATGTGTTGTCAGGTTACAAGCGCAAAACAAAAAGAAAACAACAAAGCATGGCTAATATTCTACGCCCCCCCCGCCCGTCGCCCAACAAATACAAACAAAAGAAAAAACAAGAAAAAACAAAAAGATCATCACGCATGCGACACTTAGGAAGTGTCCAGTTTCAGGCGAGCAATCCAAATACTACGCGTACAAGTAGTATACCTAGTATATACTTACTAGTAATACTACTACTATTAGTAGTAAGTAGTAGTAAAACCACTCGCCGATTAGAAAATGAACATGTATTTAGTAACTTTACATCAGATTCGCAAATATATTGCCTCAGACCCAAACAAATGCAAAAAAAGTCCTTCAGTCCAACGAACAAGGAGGCTGCCGTACTCAGTCCACTCACGAAAAAACATAGAAGTGTCTAAACAACCGGATTGCGTTTTTGGAGTCCTGAAAACTAAACAACCGGCTCAGACTCTTCTCTGATTGGCTAATTTTGTCACTTATTTATTTTATTTTTAGGCGACTCTCTAGACTCGTTAGTGGGAGCCACGATAAGGGTCGTCTGTCGTAACAGGTACTGTACAGATATGTGACCCCCGAGTAGTTTTCAGCTGTTTAGTATTATGTTTATATTTTTATATGAGTATGTTTAGGGTTAGGGTTTAGGCGTTAGAGTTAGGTTAGCGGTTAGGGTTAGGCGTGTAATGCGTTAGGTTACTGTTAGGTGTAGTACACTTCGTAGTACAAGTCTTACCGCTACACTTTGTGTATGCATATATGTACCTCGGGTACATATCTGTAGTACCTGTTACGACAACGACCCCTTGAGCGTTAGTGGAGTAGGCGAGGTACGGTCCGGCATATTAGATAGTACCAGGGTACGTTCCGGCAGTACCCTGGGGGACATAGACCCTCTCAGCGATAGTAAGGGACCGTGTTCGAACCCCATAGGATGTTTTTATTTTCCTCTGCTTTCTGTATTTCTTTGTATTTTATTTGTTTCTGCATTTATTTGTTCTGAACTTTTGTTTATGTTCGGAATTAAATATATTTCTTTATGTTTTGCATTAAAAATTGTCCTATTAATAGTATTATATATTTGTCCTGTTATGTTCGGAAACTGACCAATCAGAGAAGAGAGCCGGTTGATCAGTTTTCAGGACTCCGAAACCGGGTCCAGTCGTTTGTTTAAGCCTAGGACACACTGCGCGATTTTCTACGCTGGCCGCTTGCGATCGATAAATACGGTGCCGGGTCCGCGCGGTGTGTCCGGTCTCACGGCTGCGTATTTCGCTCGCGATCGCATACGCCCGGCTGATCGCTCGCATTCAACATGTTGAATATTTACGCGCGGTTTTCCATCGCTTGCGTACAGCGCATGCGCTTGCATGCGCTTGCACCAGCGTGCCCAACAATGAATCATCGTGCTCGAACGCGATTGTTTTTAGCAGCCAATCAAGTGTAGCAACGAAAGCTAGGAAAGCCGTTGGAGTGGTTTGACACCGTACAGTGTGTCCAGCTGTACGCGCAACTCGTACGGCGTTCTAAAATCGTGAGCGAACATATACGCTGCCGGGCAGCGTACAGAATCGATCGCTAGTGTGTCCTAGGCTTTAGACAACTAAGACACTGCCAAAGAGGCATCTAGACAACTCGGGAACTGGTTATATTACATAACAAAACACTTGCAATGCATTATGATTATCACTAGCAGTAGGCCTAACGGCCCTAGTCTAGTTAACATGTCCCAAAATACTTCATGTCTACAATACAATACACAATGGCACGGGTCATGTCTTCTAGACTAGCTCCGGCCTAATCGTCTACGATTTCTCGTTGAAAAACGACTATCGGACTAAGTTTAATAAACCACTATCTAATTAACACAAATCGTGAGGGTTTCTACTAAAACTTAGGCTAGTTTGCGTCGGTTAGAAATTACCTGTCGGGATTATAATTTCCTCCACGGGTTGTAAATTACGTTTAACTTGAGCAATTTCCCGAAAACACGTTTCAGCCATGTTCAAAATTTTATCGGGATTGCGCGCGGGTTCTATACACAGGCGCCATCTTCAGGTCATTTGACGTAACTTCTTAGAATCAAGAAAATTTTAATAACGAATTTACACGCAAATAAAAACATATACACACAGGCACTTGGAGCGTGTCAATAAAATATAATGCTAAATAAATACGAAATCTATTTACTACCAAACCAACGTGTGGCAGCGTGCGTGCGGTGGACATGTGTGTTGCAGAGGAGCATTTGCACGGAATTTACAGGAAATTGTCGGCAATAATAGGCGAAAGAGAGTAGAGCAGGGCCGTAGTGGCCTCCCGAAAAGTGCCACTGCAGACAGAAATATGTAGCCGATGCCGGGGGGTACTCCCCCAGAAAAATTTTGAAATGTAGAGCCTGGAAATGGCATTTCCTGCATTTTAAGGCTATGTTGAAAGCAACCAATTCTGATCATTTTAAAAGGTCAATTTGTAAATGTCAAAGAGGAATGTAGCTAAAGCTGATGTTTTGACTAAAGTATCTAAAATATATATTATGAGTATGATAACTAATAAAACATTATTTACAAAATTGTATATACTATCAGTACATAATTATGAAAAATAAGCCTATTTTCAATATGTATTTATACTTTCACTATGTACATCTGTATGTTTTGAAGTTTAAATTTGAATGGGTACATTGTCATATTAAATACACATTCCAAATCTTAGAGCACTGATATAACACCTCTAATTGATCAGTGTTAATAGTAATACCAGACAGTCCAGTCAGATAACTTGTCATTTTATTTTTGTATTATTCCAATTTTATCTTTTCTGCCTGGATGGCAACTTACAAATTCTGAAATTACATCCTGTTCATCTACCTTGTCTAACATGTCTCGGTGCACATGCATGACCACAAACTCCACGACAGATGGCGCTCTCGCTTATAGGCTCAATCTACTATATCCTATATCCAGGCTATATCCTATATCCAGGCTATATCCTGAGTGTGGGAAGGGGGCGCTGCATGCAGTTTGGCATGACCATTGCATTGTCGCGCCTTAACTGGGTCGTGCTGGGTCGGGGGGGGGGGCACTCCATATATATTGCATGGCAGGCGCGCCGGAAGCAGTTTTGGATTGGGGGGGGGGCAAAGACGCGCACACGCGCTCACGCACACACGATAAAAAAAATCGTGAGCCCCCTTAGGACGTGTGTGCGTGAGCGCGTGTGCGCGACGTGTGTGCGTGAGCGCGTGTGTGCGACATGCGTGCGTGAGCGCGTGTGTGCGACGTGGGTGCGTGAGCGCGTGTGTGCGTGAGCGCATGTGTGTGACGTGTGCGCGTGAGCGCGTGTGTGCGACGTGAGTGCGGGAGCGCATGTGTGTGACGTGTGTGCGTGAGCGCGTATGTGCGACGTGTGTGGCGATGAGCGAGGCCGCCGCGTATGGGCGGTTGAGCGCGTGTGTGCGCGAGCGCATTGTGTGTGACGTGGCTGCGTTGATCCGGTGTGTGCCTGATGTGTGTGCGTGGAGCGCGTGTGTGTGACTGTGTGCGACGTGGTGTGTGACGCTGGTGGTGCGTAGGCGCTCGTGTGATGCGGACGCTGAGTGCGGTCGAGCGCATGCTTCGTGTGACGTGTGTTGCGTGCTCGGCGCGTATGTGCGGACGTGTCCGTGCCGTGAGCGCCGTATGTGCGTGAGCGCGTGTGTTGCAGCGAACGCGCATGTGTGTGACGCCTTGCGTGTGTGCGTGAGCGTCGTGTGTGCGATTGTGTGTTGCGTGAGCGCGTCCGTGTGCGCGACGATCTGTGCTGCGACGTGCATGTGTGCGGTCCTGAGCGCTGCGTGGTAAGTGCGTTGAGCGCTGTGTGTTACGTGATGGGTGCGTCGAGCCCGCGTGGTGTGCGACGTTGTGTGCGTTGTGTGACCCGTGTGGTGCTGTGCAGCGCGCTCGTGTTGCGGGCGTGTGTGCGCTCGAGCGCGTGTTTGTGCACCGTCGTGTGCGGTGAGCGCGTGTGTGCGGCGTGTTGTGCGTGCATTGAATGCGCTGTGTGCGACTGCTGCACGTCGTGTCGCGTAGTGTTTGGCGCCGTCGGGTGTGCGACTGTGGAGTGCGTGCAGCGCGTGTGTGCTGAACGTTGTCCGTGCGTAAGCGCGTGTGCTGCGGACACCTTCGATTCACCGGCTCCTAGCGGCTCGCCATGACCCCGCATTGACCAGACAAGCAGCCGTCAGTGTGTGCGTGAGCGCGTTGTGCTTGCGACACAGCGTTGTGCCTGCGATGTGTGTTGCCGTGAGCGCCGTGTCGCTGCGACATGCCGTGATCATCTCGGCGGCTCCCCCCTGTGCGATGGGTGCGTGAGGCATGGTGTGCGGACATGTGTGTGTGAGCGCGTGTATGCGTGAACGCCTGTGTGTCGTGCGCTGCGTTTAGGCGGGAGTGCGCGTGGCGTATGTGCGGCTGGGTGTGTGCGTATGTGCGCGTCGGTGTGCGTCGAGCGCGTATGTGCGGCGTGTGTGCATGACGCGTGTGTGCCACGTGAGTGTCAATCACGCAAAGCGCGCGCAGCGAAAACTAAAATGAATGTATAATTAGTTTTGAACGTTAGAATTAACAAGTCTTAGCTCATACATTTTATTTTTTTTCCCACTCTTCTTTTTGGGGGGGCTTTTGTTTTTGCCCCCCCCCCTTTTGGATTGGAGGGACGGCCGCCTCCCTGCCCCCCCCCACTTCCGGCGCCTCTGTTGCATGTAAGTATGTGCCGCGGGAGAGACCCATTTTCAACCCTAACCATAAACTTCCGTTCCAGTGCATCGCAGTGCATCGCATTTTTAAGAATATCTCGTTCCAGAGCATTAAGTTTAGTTATTATGCAGATCTTACATTTTGTGCGTTCCGGAGCCCTAGTTTTTAATATTTCCGTGCCAGTGCATCGTACTTCAGAATACGTTGAAGCGGGCCGTCAAGGCATGCATGCAACGTGGTGTGTGTTGTATGTGTGCGTGCCGTGCGTGTGTTGTTCTCTGTGTGTGTGTGTGTGTGTGTGTGTGTGGTGTGGTGTGTGTGTGTGTGTGTGTGTGTGTGTTGTGTGTGTGTGTGTGTGTGTGTATGTGCGTGTGTGTGCGTGACGGTGTGCTTGCGTTCATCTCTCTCCGGGTCATGTTTTTTCTCCTCTACATAATACAACAATTATTGGTTCAAGTGCTACAGCATAGATTTTAAAGCAAATCACTGTTTCCCCCACAGTTCCGGACATCCCCTCTTTTAAACGTGATCGGTGTCATAGCATTTAATTTCAACGAAATCCTCGTTCCGGAGACCCCCATTTTCGAACATAGCCAGTTCCAGAGCATACCACATTCAACAAACATTATAGTTCCAGAGACCCCATTTTCAGGTCTGAGTTAGTTCCAGAGCCCCCATTGACTTCGCAGTGGCACATACCTACCATAATGTGGGGTGAGTGCCCCCCCCCCAGGTTTCATCTCCTTGGTATATGTTGCTCCTTGGTTCCCTGCAGAATTTTCAAAATAGTGCCACGGCAGTGCCGTGCTGCCGTGGCGGCCACTACGGCCCTGTAGAGAAACGTACATTAAGACTTTGGTAGTAAATATATTTCGTATTTATTTAGCATTATATTTTATTGAAATGCTCCAAGTGCCTGTGCATACACACACACGCACGAGCACATGCACACGCAGTCCGCACACGCGCACGCACACGCGCGCAACACGCACACGTACGCACGCACCCCCTCACACACAGAGATGCTGATGCTGAGAGGGTCTATGTCCCCCGGCGTACTGCAGGAACGTACCCTGGTACTATCTAATATGCCGGACCGTACCTCGCCTACTCCACTAACGAGTCTAGGGAGTCGCCTACTCCCTAACCCTAACCCTAACTCTAACCATAACCCTAACCCTAACCATATGGTCCATATCAAATAGCAGGCCCGTAGCCATGCAGCTTTATATTAGGGGGGGGGGAGTTCGTTTTTCAATGTTGGCAATTTGCTCGGCAGGGGCGTATACAGGATTTGTACCAGGGGTGGGTCTAACGGTAACCGAAAGTTGCGAGCACGCGAAGGGGGGGTTTGGGGTTATATGTATTTGTACTTTGTTATTATTATTATTATTATCTTATATTTATCTTGTTATTTCTTTGGTATTTAAATTCTTTTTATTGTATTACTACATTTCTTGTGCCGATTACAATTTGAAAAACGGTCAACCACTACGAGAAGTTACTTTAAACTTCATTACATTATTTTATTTGAGTTTACTTTATCATAGCAGAGATCATAATAATAGTTAGCTTGGAGTTAAAATAAGCTCAAGCTCAAGCTCATTTTAACTCCAAACTAACTATGATCTCAGCTATGATAAAGTAAATTCAAATAAAATAATGTAATGATTTTTAAAGTAACTTTTCGTAGTGGTGGACCGTTTTTCAAATTGTAATCGGCACAAGAAATGTAGTATTACAATAAAAGGTACGAGGTTCCACCGAGACTTGAACTCGGATCGCTGGATTCAAAGTCCAGAGTGCTAACCATTACACCATGGAACCGGGCACTGTACTTTCGTCGTACGCGCCTTTATCAATGGTGTGCCATCTAAGGCAGTTTACCGCGTGTTGTTATATTATTTTTGATTGGCTAGCTGTCGCACCGATGGCCAATGGTAAATGGTTACACAAGACGCGGTATCTATCAGAAGCAGAAGTGTGAAGGATGGAAAATGGAGGAAAAGTTCATCATTGGGTTGTAGTGGTTAGACTACACTATGGTTACTCCCTCGCAAACCATATAAGGCTATCAATATCGCTACAACAAGTGAAATTAAAACCTATTGGTAAGTTTTACAATTCGTCGCCATGATGTCAATCTAGACTTAGTATTTATACTTTTATAGTATTGGTACTACTGTACTAGTATTACTATTAGTATTAGTATTACTATTAGTACTATTAGTATTACTATTAGTATTAGTAATAATATTAATAATTTACATTTTACGGCTGTC